ATATATATATACATATATAAATTAAACTCACATGAGGCAGACTTTTCAGAAGCTCATGGAAGAAAAAAAAGCGAGGGTGCAAACTGAAAGCAGCGATTAATCTCCTAGGGACCAGGGCTCCACTCAGCAAGGAAAGTTATTAGGGTCACTGAGAGGTAAAGCTCTGTGTGGTTTCAAATCCCAGAGGATCTGATTAGGCTTCCAGAAGTGGAAGCACGCGACTGATTGCCGTGGGGTCAGAGAAGACCGGATGGGCAGGCAGGAGCTGGGAAGGGAGGCACGAGGATCTGCTCACGGGGAGGCAGGGGCCCAGCAAGGTGTGCGGAAGAAACTAGGAATTAAGTCTACCATTTAAAGTTACTAGAGTCGGGCACAGGGCCCTCAGAGCCAGTGGGACAGTGAGCTGGTGGCAAGGCAGGTAGCTGCCTGTTGCCATACCTACCAGCTCAGATGGCCCCAGGGACGAGGGCGGTAGGAGGAGCGCAGGGAGCTTTCTGAGCAGCTCGTCGTGGCCCCTCTGTGGCGCCTGGCTACTGCACGAACATAGCCTGAATCTCAGGGTCTCAGGATCAGCAGGAAATTCTGGGCCCTGCCATGGCCTTGCCCAGTGAACCAGGAGTGCAGATTTTTCCGGTGACCTAGGTCTGAGGAGGAGGATGGAGGTCGGAGGTCAGCACCACAGGGAGCCCTGGGGCACCCACCAGGCCTGACAAGGGTAGTGTACCTTGGGCAGCTTGTGAGCATCAGGGCTCTGGGAGTGGGGAGGAGGCACCCAAGGGGGGGCCTGTTTCTCACAGGTATGGGGATGGGCTCTGGCCACAGGCTCCTTAAGGCACCCAGCTCCGTCCTTGGTTCCTTCTGCCCAGGGGTGGTTCTCTGACTAGCTGTCACCAGTCATGGTTAGCCAGGATTAGCCCTGCCAGGATTAGCATGGAACTTTCAAAACTTATCCCTGAACCTCAGTTTGTTCACTGACCACATGAGGACCCTAAGAAGATGGTCGTGGGCTGCTGGGAGAATGAATGGCTGATGTGTGTCAGCGGCCAGGCACGGGGCCCAGGGAGCGGTGGGTGGGAGCCCCCTCACCCTGCTAAAGGAAGAGAACACCTAGTAAATGACATGGGTCTCTGGGTACCACTCAGACCTCCTGGGGGCAGGAAGTACTAGACCTCCCAAGATAAGGGTACCTTGCTGAGTAGAGGCCCATTTAAACCATGCTGGTCAAGCAGCCTGGATGTGGCCCCTAGCATGGCCCCAGTCACTGCACTTAAACAAGGGCAGGAGTGGAGGCCCCTCTGTGAGCACACCCACACCTCTGCTGCCTGTCACCAAGTGCCCAGGGCAAGCTCCTCAAACACCATTTCTCTGATGAGGAAGAGAAGCTCTGCCGGGTGCCTCTGTCCACAGGTCCGTGTGGCAGTTCTGCTGTTTTTTGCAGCATAGGGCCTAGAAGCCAGTATTTCCTTCTTATTGTCCTGCAGCTGGGGCATTTGGGGTGAGCGTACCATAACTCCTAAGTGGCCTCTCCACTGTTAAACAGCTGGGCCACCCCCAGTGTGTGTCACAGCAAGTTTCTGCATTTAAAAAATGTTTCTGAGGGCTGGGGATTTAGCTCAGCGGCAAAAGCGCCTGCCTGGCAAGCGCAAGGTCGTGAGTTCAGTTCCCGGTAGCGGAGAAAAACAAAAAAAACAAAAAAAACCAAAAAAAACAAAACAAAAAAAATGTTTCTGATTTCCTCCCCATGCAGTTTCCAGAGACTCCAGCCTCCTGCCCCTGAAGGATTTCCACCCTGATCATGGCTAAGAACTCATGTTAGCCCTTGCCGGCCACTTGGTGGTGAGGGGCTCTGCACCTGCAGCGGCATAGGGGCGGGTCTGTAGATGAGAAAACAGGACAGGGGCCTCCTTCAATCTCTAGCTAATCCTGCCTGGAAGGAGTCAAATGCAAACTTCATGAGAGAAATGTCCTTGGGGGAAAAATCAAGGATGAGAGTAGAGAAAAGGAGAAAAACCAGGTAGAGAAAGGCACCAAATGGCCTTGGGACCTGCAGGAGAGACCAGAGAGGCAGGAGCTGACAGGCGGGACACAGAGCCAATCGCGCGAATGATGAGCTACCCCAGCCCCAGCAGGTGCGGAGAAGCGTGTGCGGCGGGAGGGTGCTACCTAACTCGGGGGAAGCCTTTATTCAGTGTATAAGGATGCACTCACATCTGCTCACTGACATAGTCACATGTGTACATGTGCACTCACTCCAGACCCATTCTATTATTCACTCCAGGGTCATTGTAGGGTGTAGTGGATATCCACACCCCCTTACTAGTGCTAAGCTAGTCATGGATAAAACATCTCCTTGCCAAATAGCCGCCCACCCCAAAGAGCAGGCATTGGAAGGTATATCAAGGACAAGTAAACAGCAAAAAACAGCTCCTCACACAGCACTGGAATGCTGGGCAGAGAGGCCTGGAAGCCAGTCCAGCTGCGGCAAGTTGGCAGTGAGTTTGACCCCTGTGAAAGCAGCCGGGAGTGGAAGCCCACATGTCCTCTGTCTTTCCAGAGCCCCCAACCCTGACTCTTTCTTATGAGGGCAGCTATCGGTCTTCTCATCTTCCTTTCCTTTTCCTCTTTACAAATAAAGTGTCTTCCTTTCACTGAACTTTGTCCCTCTAATTTCTTCGTGGGGTTGGACTTACCGTCCCAGTGGCTGCTTGGACAGCAAAGCAAAGTGCCCACCGAGGACCCCAATTCCCCACCAGGGCAGCATGCCTGTTTCAGTGCCAGCCGATGTCTCAGAAGCACAGCTGGCCCAACTGAGGCCCACAGACAGCAAGGTCCCTGAAGAACACAGTGTCCGGGCAGTGACCCAGAGGACCCAGGTGGGAGTGGGTGCAGGACGGCAGCAGGCTCTTCCACCAGTTACGCACGTTACTTAAGTGCCTCGGAATCCACACCACATTGCCAGCTCCCTCTCTGCCTGCCTGTTCTGTAAACCCAGCCCCTCCTCCAGAAAGCTAGAACTCTGCACTGGAGTGTGCCTCTCAGACAAGCTGAGGGAATACAGGCTGGGATGCGCTGGGGAAGGCAAGGTGCATCTGTGCAGGCTGGGGCCCCCGCTGTGACAAAGCCACCGCCCGTTGGAGGGAGTGAGTGGAAAGAGGGCATCCATTCAGGAGCTGCCCCAGGTGGCTGGGAACATGTGCCAACAGTAGGCCTGCTGCGGGCTCTGCAGAGGATGGGAGCCTGGACTTCATCTCCAGTTTGCACCACGGAGTCCTGGCTGGGGCAGGAAGGGGCCAAAATGACCTCTGGAATGGGGCACTGCCTCTCTGCCTGCCCACCTTCTTGGGCACCCGCATCAGAGTCAGCTCCCCTGGCAGATGATACTGCTGTGGCCAGAGGGCTTAGCTTAGTGGGTCTCCATGGCAACCACAGCGGGAGCTGGCCTGCCTCCAAGTGCACAGGAGCTCAGCTCAACCTCCAGGGACTCCCGCTCTGTGAACGCCGCCCAGCCGCCTCCCTGTGCCCTCCCTTGGCACCGCGGGCTCCGGCAAAACTTCTCAGAGACAGAAAGAGCAAAAGACACAAGGAGGCAGCCAGCAGAGGAAGCGACAGGAGGGAGGCAGAGAGGATGTAGCCCACCCTCCCAGCTCAACTTTCTGCTTTTCCTGAAAAGATCCAGACTCTCTTCTCTCACCCTGGGGAGCAGAAATCAGAGCCCCTGAGAAAGCAAGGTAAGCAGGCGTCTCCCCAGCCCAGCCCAGTGCAGCTGCACCATTAGGAGAGAAAGCTGAGGCTGGGCCGCTGGGGGTGGCTCCTGGGAGCAGAGCCTGGGTCCAGGGTAAAGAGTCAGCTGGCGGGATCCAGCATAACCAAGACATGTAGGCAACCCATGGGCCAGGCTGTCACTCCTGACCAGACACTCAGGATGCAGACCCAGGCTGGTTGGCCCCGGGCCGGGCTTCAGGGAAACGACAGGCTGGGGCCCAGGGATCAGGGTAGGGGTCATGGGCATCAGCCCTTCCACAGAGGGCATGCCTCTCCGCTTGTACATCTGCCTCAAAACAAGGAGGACCGAATGCCAGCTACTCTGCATGGGATCCAATGGGAAGCGCCGGCAATCACCTACTGTGTGCCAGCATGGTCAACAGATACAGCTCTTGCCCTTGCAGCGGTCATAGCTAGGTAGGGGAGAAGGAGAATGTGTTTGTTACAGATGTGACAGTCACAGCCCTGTGCCAAGCCTGGCCACAGGGACTGGTGACATCTAGGTGGCTAGCGAGGGGCAGACTTTGGGGTGGGTGGCCCTCGAGGTGGGATTTTTGTGGGCCAGACAGAGGACAGATCGGTTAAGCTGTGTCATACCCAGCTTAGTGGGTAACAGTTTATTTTTTTATGATGCCAGAGAGAATGGAGGTCAGTTGTATTGTGTGGCGTTGCTGTGGCCCTTGGGAGGAAGGGGGCCGGGAGGACTAGTCGAGTCTACTGAGAGGCCTCTGGCCACCTCAGGCTCTCGGGCCACTCTATGTCTGGCTTGGAGGTCCCCAGGGGTGTCCCTCCTGTCCTGGCCTGCAGATGCTTAGCTCAGCTATTAGCGCCCAGCTTTGGAGGTAGACGGGGCTAGACTTGGGCACAGCAGCTTTTGACTAAGAATTCAGCACTCCTGAAGCAAGGGCTGCCCCTGCCTTGTGGTGGGCCGTGTGCAGGTGTAGGGCTGGAGCGCTCACTGGAGGTTGGGGACTCTGTCCCTCCTGTGATGCACAGGGCCTGGTTCCACTTTGCTCTCACTGTTGAACACCCCAGCTCCCATCTCTAGTGAGTTTCAGCTGGTAGTCTGGTCCCTGGGTGATGGAAAAAGTCCTCACCCTCAGGGTGCTCAGAAATAGGCTAAAGAGAAGGCTCAGAAAGCATAGGGCCAGGCAGGAGGCTGGAGGGGAGAGGAGGGGAGAGGAGGGGAGAGGAGGGGAGGGAAGGGGAGAGAAGCGCAGAGGAACAGGGAGGCAGGTGGAGCCTTCGAGCACTGCAACTCTCTGGGGCAGCCACAGAGCCACCGCCCGTTCAGTCCCCACCTCCTGCTGAAGAGTGGGCGGGAGGTCAGAAAGAGGTCTGGAGTCAAGCCTGCAGCAGGCCAGGGCCACTGTCCTCCTTGTGCTGGGACCCTTGGAGACCTGTGCAGTCTGGGGACGCCTTCTCAAAATAGTTCTAAGTGAATCCGACAGGTGTCACTGGGTTACAAAGGAAACTGGCTCTATCCAGTGCAGCTGTCAGGGGCGGGTTTCCGGACACAATCTGCAACAGCAATACACAGGAGGCTCTACGAACAAGGAAGGGAGAAAAGAACAGTGGCAGGCTGGTAAACACTGACTTCCCACTAGCAGCTTGCACACACAATATTCCAGAAGTGACAACTTTAAAGAGGGCGGACCATGGCAGTGACCGTGGCCGGGGATAGATGTCACAGGTGCCCTCACAGCCGAAGAGAATACTTCATTCTAGTTAAAGGTTAGTGGGAAGGGCTGGGGATTTAGCTCAGCGGCAAAGCACCTGCCTGGCAAGCCTAAGGTTGTGAATTCGATTCCTGGTACTGGAAGAAAAACAAAACAAAAAGACTTTTATAGGTTAGTGGAAATAAGGGTGGTTTTTCCCCATTCAAGTTCATCATCTGAGCAAGTGTGGTCCCCACACTTGTAAGCCAGAACTCTAGGCCTTAGGGAATTTGAGCTCAGCTCGGGCAGCTTAGCAGTTTAGTGAGACCCTGTCTCAAGAATAAAAAAATGACAAATCTCCAGTGCCATGAAAAAAAGAGAGAAAGGAGGGAAGGGGAATGGAAAGGGAAAGAAAAGAAAGGAGGAAAGAAAAAAAAATCATTCCCAGTCTCCAAATTCTTCCAGGAGCCTGGGTAAGAACCCTTGCACTAAGCACCAAAGGCAGCCGCAGATGTGGGGACCAGCTTCTTGTGAGTCTGCAAAACAAGCGTGCAGACATCATCTCATCTGATTTCATAGTAAGCTGAAGTCAATACCTTACACCCCATTACACACGGGGAAACTGAGGCTCAGGGACACAAAGGTGACCTGGACGCAGCCTGGCTGAGTTGGGGGGAAGAGGGTGGTGGCCTCTGCTGAAGTCTGGCCACTTGCTAAGCTGGCATAGACAGGGCACAGCCAGGCACCCAGACAGCGTCCAAGGGCAAAGGGCGGGACTAAAGCCCCAGCCTCAACAGAGGAGACATGGTGCAGGAGGGAGGGAAGGCAGTTGCCAGTGGGTGTAGCCATCCTGCCCCAGGGAGGCCTCTGGCTGAGGGAGGGAGTGTCCCCAAGGTTCCCATAGAGACCACTGGTCTGCAGGTGTAGGCCCTCCCTGCGGGCTCAGTGTCTTCTCCCACTCTGTGACTCCGGCTCCACTTAGCAGCTGACAGGCAGGGTCTGGCGGTACCTCTTCCTGGCTGTCTAGGCCTGGGAATTGTGGCCTCTCACTGCACGGGACAGAGGCTTGCGAAGCTCTCACACGCATCTCTTTGAGTCCCAGGGGGACACTGGGGTGTGGGCCACACAGATGTGTGAACCCCAGTTTATACGTGAGGAGGAGCCTCCTGGGGACAGCCAGGGGGACCATGTAGCTAAGGCCCTGTCCCCTCCTGGGGCCCAGCACTGCTGCTCTGCTTGTTTTCCTCCTCCTCTGGGGAGCTCAGCACCCAGTGCAGGGACATACTGACCCGTATCTGCCACCTAGGCCTCAGCCCACTGGCACCCCATGGCTGTGGTGTCAATGGACAGAGCCTGCCTGAGGCAGACCCTGCCTGGGGCAGAGCAGAGGAGCTAGCAAGCTGGTCAGGATGAGGGGGAAGTGCGGGTTGAGCTGGGCATCTCTAACTCCCAAATCATGACTATGCTCACACACGTGGAAAAGTGGGGCGAGTGGGACATTACACACCCGCAAATGCCTCTGGATAAAACCAGTGTTAGTGTTTCGCCACAGTTGCCTATGTACATCTCAGGGTGGTTTGCATGTTAGACATCGCAGACGCTTCAGTACTCCCTACGCTCCGAGTACTCCCTTCACCTTGACGCCTTCTTAGACCTAAGAGAACAAGCGGTCATTACTTCCACCACCTCCCTCCTCAGGTTACCCCAGCGGTCCTAACTTAAGGTGGGGATTGGTCAACAGTCACACAATGCAGGAGACTGTAAGTGCACTGGCTGAGGAGAGGCGGGCTGGCTCCGTGGGACTCAGGTGACCAGGGCACTGCTGCTGGCCAGAGCTGGGGACCTGGAGTTGACACTGAGCAGCGTGGCCTGCAGTGGGGGTGCGGGGCAGGTCAGGGCAGGACCCACGCCGGGGTAGGCCCTGGGCGACCCACAGATCACATGCGACTAGCTGCAGTCTCGGCTGTGGGTCAGTTCCTGAGGGCCCTGGGATAGGACAGCACCCCTGAATTTGATCAGCCAGCCTGCCTCTCTGACCCTCCCTGCTTCTCCTCTGGCGGTCTCCCTCCCTCTTTTGCCCTTAAGAACTTAATCAGACCTGCCTAAGAGCCTCCCAGGGTAGCAGCTGGCACTAGGACAGAAATAGCTTTGGCAAAATCCTTGTGTGTCTGCCAAAGCCTCGCCCAGGTCGTGTGTGGGGTGTGGGGCGAGGAGGAGCTGTCTCCCCAGAGGTGTCACCTGGCTGAGAGGCTCAGAGCCCCAGGAGCCAGGACTCACATGGCCCTGTACCAAAGAACCTGCTCAGGAGGCCAGCTCAGGAGGCCAGCTCAGGACCCCAGGAAGAGGGACCCCACAAGGCTGCCCTCCAGGCCGTTTGCAGTGGTGCAGAAGGCCCTGTGTGCCAAGGCTGGGCGTCCCCACTGTCGTGTGCAGGTCCCTTACAATGGTGTGGGATGGAGCCGGGTGGCAGGAAGAGGAGGGCAGCTTGGAGCTAGGAGCTGGCTCGGCCTGCAGAGCTGTGCACCAGTCAGAAGCTCTGGGAAACATTAGACAGGAAGAGAGTGGGACAGATTTTAATACTTTGCAGCTTAATCGGTAACTTACAAATGTTTAGATATATAAATATACATATAACATCTGTAGAGGATTGTGTAATGTACTTAAATGTACGCTAAAATAATTATATAGTACAATAATAAATTATTTGAGAAAAAGTATATTATTTATGTAAGGTAATTTTATGGCATTAAAATGTCTCCATACTTCTGTAAGCTATGCAGGTATCATCTGTAAACATTGCCTGTCACACAGAGCTGTACGGGAGCGTGGGCCTCACCAGCTGCACGGCCCAGGCCCCTTGCACATGTGTGGGGCAGCCCCTTTCTCAGGTCCCCATGGCCTGGCCAGGCCAGGCTTCCATGGCCATGGTGTGGCCAGTCTGAGGTAAGGCTGCCCTGGGCACAAGCTGTTTTGCCAGCTTCTCCAAGCCCTGGGTGGCAGGACTTTGGGCCTCCTCTGCCCCCGAGTCACCCTTGGCTCCAGGGTACAGACTCAAAGGAAACAAGGGCCATGGAAGGCAGGGCATGGCCAGAATGAAGCCGTAAGGTGGGTCTCAGGGAAGCTGAGAAACTGGGATGAGCAGGACTCCAGGTGAATTTATAGCCCGTTGCACATGCACACCCAGACACAGGTACACACACGGATGACTAGTGCACTGCATGGTGACCCAATCCTGGCCTTCATGTTGGGATTAATCCAAATCAGTTGGAAAGTGAGGCTGATCCATTTATTTTTAGGTGTTCACTGAGCACTTGCTGTGGGCCAGACCCCGATGCTGGGTGCTGGGTGCTGGGCGCTGACCTGCAGAGCAGCGCCCACTCAGCATGGAGCAGGGGGCAGAGCAGGAGGTACAGGGAGGCCAGGCGCTCTCCGGAGAGAAGTGACCTGTAAGAGCAGGGGGGCTTTCTCAGAACTGGGAGACCGAGGGTTCCAGTGTGTGCAGTGACCCCGAGTGAGGGGGCACTGACACCCTACCGAGTCCTGGCAGCCCGGCTGTGTCTAGGCAGGAAGACGCTGGGGGCAAAGGGGAGGTGGGGCACCTGGAAGACCTGCTTCTGGCTTGTGCTCCGGAACGGCACTCCCTCTACCGCCCTCAGAGCCGCCATCCATACCCAATGGCACCAATGACTGCAGCACACTCCCTGTTCCTTCATTCCTTCACATCCAGCCATCCGCCTGTCCCTCCCGTCAGCTGGCCACTCCCAGTTCTGTACTGAGCAGGACCCGGTGGGGCATGGGAGGAGTAGCCACACTGCTCAGCCAGCCCCAGTGCTGGTCCACGTCTCGCCTGGGCGTGACTGCGTCCTCCACGACCCCTTAGCCCTCGAGGTTGATGCTTGCACACACCCTTCAGCCCTGCTGTCCAGAACAAGCTCTCTGGTCCTCCTCATCCTCTAAGTCAGCCGCTCTCCCTTCCTCACACCAACACTGACTGCACTGCAGGCACCTTTCCCACTGATACTATGGTGCCCCCTGCCCGGTACTGGGGATTGATCCCAGGGCCTTTGCACTGTGTTACATCTCCAATGCCCTTGTTTTATTTTAATTAACTAATTAACTAACTTATAGGCAGGGTCTGCCTGAGCTGCTGCACTGGCCAGGCCAGGCTCCTCCTGCATGCTGAGCATGGCCTCCCAGTGGAGATTCCGGAGGCCATTTCCCTAGGTTCAATTATGGCAATGCTTTAAGGGTCATTACACCCATGAGCGAGCACATCACTCTCTGTGCTGCTTACAGTGTCCGGTTTACCCACATCTGCTTCTCACAGCTGTCTGGCCTGCTCCGAGGGGCTCAGGAATGACTCCAGAGACATGCAGTGACCGACTGGAGGCCACAGAGTTCTGTTCACCTGGGGTCCGACTCTCCTTCCCACACATCTTCTGGGGCCTCCCTCCCTGAGAGGCCCTGGGAGGACACCTGCTCTGTCTCGCAGGGCCGAGGGGTCATGTCCCTCATCCCGTGGCTCCGGGGGAATGAGGCCCCAGCCCGGCTGTCCTCCCGGAGCCCGGCGGAGATGGTGCTGGAGACGCTCATGATGGAGCTGGTGGGGCAGATGCGCGAGGCGGAGCGGCAGCAGCGGGAGCGCAGCAGTGCGGTCAGGAAGATCTGCACCGGCGTGGACTACAGCTGGCTGGCCAGCACGCCGCAGCCCACCTACGACCTCAGCCCGGGCGAGCGGCTGCAGCTGGAGGCTGTGTGTGCCAAGATCCACCCGTCCTACTGTGGGCCGGCCATCCTCAGGTAAGGCTGGGCCCTGCAACAGGCACCCCTCGGGTGTGGACCCTGGGAGGGTGGCTGCAGGGCCTGGGCCATCAGGACCAGAACCAGGACCTGGAGGGCAGTCCCGTCAGCAGGAGCAGGGTGGACCCAGGCAGGGCCGGGGGCTCAGGGGATGCTCCAGGGCAAGGACAGCAAGGAAGGCCACCTGAAGCTTCCTGCTCCTCCTGCCAAGTTGTTCTCATCCTGGGTTTTACTAGCTGCTGCTCCTCTTTCGTCAGGCCGTCTTCAGATTCCCTTCTTGGAGGGGTTTTCCCACAGTCTCTCCAATACTGATTTTATTTTTTAAATTAACTTATTTATTTTGCAGTACTGGGGATTAAACTCTGGGCCTGTGCACTGAGCTGCAACCCCAGCTTTTTCACACTTAATTGGAGACAGGACCTTGTTATGTCATTGAGTTGCCCAGGCGGGCTCCTACTTTCCACCCTCCCGCCTCAGCCTCCCACAGAGCTAGTATTATAGCATGTGCCTCTGTGCCCGGCCCCGATATTAATATATCTTGATTATTCTACTTCACACCGACTTGTACCCTGGTCTGCCCAAGGTGTGTGTTGTGTGTGTTTGTGCATCTGAGTGTGCATGAACTCCAGGTTTGCGGCCCTGGGGCTCTGGACACATAAAGCATGGGTCCAGCAGTGTTCCGGAAGTAACTGTGATTGGAAGCCATGGCTTTCCTGTCCCTGTCCCCATTGGATGCCGAGGTCAAGGAAGGCGTAGTCAGCCGTCCAATCGCAAATAGCGCCAAATACCTCAAGTTCTTCGTCCATGTTTCTCTCTGGTGAAACACAAACCTCCATTAAAACGCCTGAAAGTTCCCTAGAGTCCCCAGCCCTCCCTCTCCCCTCTCTGGAACCAGCGCACCGCCCACACCATTTTTTTTTTTAAATCCCCTCTTCAAACTCTCAGTCCTGCTACAACCCCATCCAAGATACCTTAGTTTCTGGGGCCTTTGGCTACCTTGCCCCTTTTTCCAGGCTGACAATCTCAGCCTTCCCCCTTCCCACTCTGCACCGTGGGAACTGCGAGGACTCCGGAAGCCCTGGGCCGGGCGGGGGGCCCGGGCCGGGGCTGCCGAGGAGCGCGAGGGGGCGGGTGGACGGGCGTTGCAGGCGC